GCACCCACCCCTCGCTCAGCCAGTGAGCGGGAACCGGTCTGTATGTGGGATCCGAACCCTCGGCGGGAGCGCCACCGTGCTCCCAAGCGGCGCACTGTAGCAGTGCGCCACCGGGCCGGCCCCGAAGGCTTACCTTTTAAATCTCCTCTCCTCAGCTCTGGTCTCTGAACCAAGTATTGCCCTTTGGATCCGTAACTGGCAGCTTTCTCACCGCCTTTTAACAGTTTTGACTGCTTAGCCTTGCACCCCAATAGTGAGTAAATGATATTCATGCACATTCCTAAATAACGTCTTGCAGGATTCTTCTGCTCAATCTTACATCATGAGTGATATCAGAAACAGGTATCTATATTACAATGTCCAGATATGTTAATGTAAGATATTTATATAACTAGAAATATAGTACTGTGCAGAGGCTGTTGTTTTTTCTTTCTAATTCACAGGTTTTCTCAATGAGGATGAAGGGCCACCACTGCACAAACCAGAAAAATAGGAGTCATCCCTGATCCTTCTTTCCCTCCCACCCTACATCTAATCTACAATCCTATTAGTTCTGTCTTCACAATAGATCCCAGCTCTAGCCTCTTTCCAGCCCTCCAAACCACCTCAACTCTTTGTCGTAATAATCTGCTAGCTGGTCTCCCCTAATCCCTTCTCACCCCCTTTAATCTATTCCCCACATATCAGCCAAAGAGACCTTTTCAGAATGTGAAGTTAGTAATGATACTTCCCTGCTGATACCCTCCACAGATCACCTTCATGCTTAGAAGAAACCCCCTTGCCTTGGTCTGCAAGGCTCTGCATGACTTTGCTCCTTCCTGTTCTCATCTTCCACCACGCACTTCTTTGCCTACTGAGCTCCAGCTATAGTGGTTACCATGCTGCTTCTTGAACATTCCAAACTCCCTCCTGTCTTTGAACTCTTCACACTTTTCTTTCCTCTACCTGGAACTCACCCCAGATTTTTGCATGGCTGGCTTCTGCATGTCACCTGTTCAAAGGACCCCTCCCTCACCCCTTCGTCTGTGACAGCCCCTTTCACTCCCAAATGACTCTGATTCTCCCATTGTACATGAGTAAATCTACCCACTACAAATATAGTGTCAGAAAATATATTTGTTATTCTGGTCAAGATGGTGGAACAGACAGTCCCCAGCATCCCTCTCCCACTAGTCAACAATTTACAACTATAAAAAAGCAACAACAGCCAGGCTGGGGCTGCTAGAGCTCAGGGGAAGAGGAAGAGAGACCTACAGAGCTCATGAAGGTGAGAGAAACCACGATGAGAGAAAGAAAAAACTGCTTAGAGCATTTTGGGCATGGCTGGTTTAAGGCTGGAGCTGCTGAGTGCACAGAGCAGGAGCCAGCAGAAGCCACAGCTGTGTCCTTTGGATGAAGTTGCATGGAGGTGGCAGGGGAGAAGAGGGCTTTGGTGGCCCCCAGGACAGCAAGACCACTAATAAGGTTCCTTTGGACCCACGCAGGAGGGAGGAGACAGAACTGAAAAAAGGAGCCATTTAGAAGCCAGTGAGTCATCACAAGGGACTGACGCACGGCTCATCCCATGGGAAGTGTTTGGAGCACTGGTGGTGGGGGAGGCGGGCCCACTGGGAGAACACTGGGGCACAGCAAGGACAGCCAATCCACACCCCAATCAGTGCAGGACCACTCAGAGGACACTGGGCAGGAATATACAACTTCATCCAAAGGTGTGCTTTGATGAAAAGATTCAGACCCAGATCAGAGTTTCTACACAACCCAGGTGCACCAGGTCTCTGCAGAGCTGGAAGTACCGATAAGGTCAACCATTAAGCCCTGAGCTGCACAAAACGTCTTCCCTAGGGAAACAGCAGCAAAGCAGCAATTTAGCTCAACCACACAGCTCAAGTACTGGTTCCCACAGGAAGTTCCCCCATTTTAGAAGTGAGCAAAGAACAAAAAATTAGTTCCAGCCCAGGCACAACACCAGTGTGTTGGGGCCCACCAGAGGACCTGAGGTATGGAGCCAGTGACCAGACCTCCCATCCACAACCAGGCACACTGACAGTGCCTCGGGCCTGACCAGGGGCCTGAGGCATGGAGGTGGTGACCAGACCCCCCCCACACACAACCGGGCACACCACCAGCAATAAAGAGCATGCCAAAAACATCACCTCCATGTGCGTGACCCATCACAGCCACTGCAGTAACCACAGCTGCCATGAAAGTGGCTAGATGTTGCAACCACCATGCAGATGGTCCACCAGCCACTGGAGTGCATTGACACAAGGAGATTCACCAGCAGAGACCAAAGAAAAGAAGAGAATGTTTCTCTCCATAAAGCCCATTCCAGATTGACAGAAGAAGCATCTGCTCTACAATAATATTGGGGGGCCTGAACACACCTCTCAGCATTGGACAGATCATCTAGGCAACAAATCAACAGAGTAACCATTACTCTTTCAGAGGGAGAGAAGAAACCTAGGGTTATCAGAGGGGGTATGGGGGAGTGAGAAGGGGGTAGGGAAAGACTGGACAAGGGGCATAGAGAATAAGTACAATTTGTAACAATATATATACTAGTAATATTGATTCGATCAACATATGTCAACATTGAACACCCAAAATATGTATAATCAATTATGATTTGATAAAAATTTTAAAAAAAGAAAATGTATTTGTTGTGCTACATTTGTTGTAAGAAATTTATTCTATTCGTGTAAGTTGCGATAAGGCACCAGCATCTGGATGATAACTTTACTAGATTTGATTTCACTGACATTTCTTTTCATAACCTCGACATTTTTTGTAGATCAAGATTTTGACTTCATGTGCTGGTCATAAACCATCAAGATTCTTTGTCTTGACTTTATCCCTATAGGTCTGTTGGTGATTGTAACCAATTTACTTTTAAAATACATTCGATGTAGTTGTTTGTTTGTTCAATAGGTGGGGGCATTGTGAGTTGTGACTGGAAACCTACTGGAGAAGCTTTGAGGATGAAAGTATATGGAGTAGGCTTTACTAAATGCTTGATGAAATGAATGCACAGGGTGTCTTCCAAATCTGACGTCTGTCCTGTCTTTGATGGTTGGTTGATTGATGGATGATTCAGTGACTCTGTCCTGTGAATGACTAAAGAAAGTCAAGCCACTCATGAACTCTGTTCTGTACAGATTATCCACGATGTGTCTTCCCCTTCATCTATCGAGGAAAGTCCTATGAAAGTTGCATCACGGATGGTGGCATCTTAGGAAAGCTGTGGTGCTCAGTCACCTCCAGCTTTGATGAGAAGCAGCAGTGGAAATACTGTGAAATGAATGGTGAGCCGCTGGAGCAAGGATGGGGTGTATGGTGAGAAGGAAGGAGGAAAGCAATATCCTCATGAGGGGACGGTGAGCAGGGCGGACAGCAGAGCAGCTAGGGACCATGTGTGTTCTCAGAGAGTACACCCAACCAGCACAAGAGACAGGAACATCCTGTGGCCAAGTTCCCCCAAGTCCCCACTGCCAGCATGAGAACCCAGGTGTCCTGAGAACTGAAACTATGGGCTGTCGTCTTGGTACTGGTTTTTCATGTATTTTTGTTTCTAGAATTGGCAATAACCCATAGGTGAACCCTACCTGCATTTCAATGCACTTTAACATCTGATCTTCATTCTACATCTAATCCTAACTTAATAATAACCAACATTCATTCAGTGCCCTCTCTGTACTGTACTCTGATCCAGGAGCTTTATATACATTTTGTTGAATCTTTCCACGGCAGCTCTGTGAGATGCTATTCCTTCCCAGCTCACACAATTAATAAATGGTCCAAGCAAAACGAAGTCCTTCCAGCTCCTATGCTATGTCAGAGATAAAATTTCAGTTGAAGTCCATATGGCTCTAAAGCCCATTCTCTCTCATTAAGCATTTTTGACTCCATGGAGATAAAAATGCATGCAAGGCACTTATCCTCAGGCACACTCATTCTTATGTAAAAATATTAGTTGTATTCCTCCCTTAGCACTCAAAAAATCCCAATTTCATCTAAAATCTTAATTTTATCCTAGCCCTAGCCATCCACACTTGTGTCCTTAACTCTAAACCAATCTTATCCTCAAATCTCACCATAAACTCTGTCCTACTGCCTAACCTAATTTTTAATTCAAGTCCAACTCTTTCTCCAGCTCCACTCTTGACTCTACATTGTATCATTAATATGCCCATAACCTTAGCCATTTTTATTTTTATTTTTTATTTTTATTTTTTCTAAAAGATGACCGGTAAGGGGATCTCAACCCTTGGCTTGGTGTTGTCAGCACCACGCTCAGCCAGTGAGCAAACCGGCCATCCCTATGTGGGATCCGAACCCGTGGCCTTGGTGTTATCAGCACCGCACTCTCCCGAGTGAGCCACGGGCCGGCCCCAACCTTAGTCATTTTTAAACCCTAAACCAAGTAGATGGATTGAGAAAGATACCAGTTTAATTATAGTATTATAACACTATGTATAGTTCTAAGTCCACTTCAAATCTGATTTTAGGTTAACTCCAACTTTAACATGTAAACTTCTGTTCATCCTGAATGCTATTCAAGCTCCTCACACCCAATTTTGATGTGTAACAGATTTGAATTTGCATAAATCACTGAACAGTTGCCTCACAGAAGGTCCCCTTTAGCTCTGGCTTCCGGATTACATTGAGAAAGCTGTTAAATCTCTTGGTCACTTTTGTTATTTGCAAAATGAGGATGCTAAACCCTGACTTAACAGGGTTTCTACAGATTGGAGTTCTGTTCCATACAGGCTCTGTCATGGTGCCATGCCAGGTACCTATGACATGTGAGTGCTCCTTTCCCCCTATCATCTGAGCCGCTTGTCAAAACAAGTTAGACCTCAGTTAGAATTCTGCTGTCGCTGTTTAACAGCTACGTGATCTTGGACCTGTTAGATAATAAAAATGATAATGATCGTAATATAGTGAACTTCTGGTAGGCATTTGCTGTGTGCCAGGTAGTGTTCTAAATACTTCACATGAAACAACGCATTTATCATCCACAACAACCCCTATGAGGTGAATCTGATTATCAGCCCCACTCACAGACGGGGAAGCTGAGGTTCATACAGGTTCGGTTGCTACGTGTCAGAGCTGCGATTTGATCCCACGGAGTCTAACCTTCAGAATTTGCACTCTTACTCACTAATCATTACCGTCTCTAAATCCCAACCCCTTAGTCAAATTCTGGCTTTCTCTAAAACACCACCCAAAGAGCCTGTTCATTAGGCAAGACTGAGCTTACTGCTTATTGAAGTGAGGGAGATTACTACTTTGACAGAGTCTTAAGAGCATCTTGGAGTGGGGAGGGCAAAGGAAGGATATTGATGAATTTTGGGGGTATGGTCTAAGGTGGGTCTTTCAATGTGGGGATGCCATCTGGATTGGATAAGGATCGTGACATAATAGTTTAGGATTGGTAGTCATTACTGAGGAGAGAGCTTCGAAAAGTCTTGAAGAGTAAACTGTGTTTTGATACAATCTACTGAAAAGTTGAATGACCTGGTTTTATTTAAATAGCTTTTCAGGAAGTTCCTGGAATGAACATTAAAGTTATTTGCAACTTTTATCTTCTTGGGGAAGAACTTTTTAGATTAGTAGAGTCAAGTTGATGAAGACCATGGAACAGTAGAGTCATGTTAATATAGACAGCAAGCTGTGTGGGTGTTGATGGTTTTGGTTCCCACCTACCCACAAAATGGAAATAATAACATCACCAAGAAGTTGTTTGGAGGATTCAATGTTATATTGCATTGAGATAAAGTGTGGCACATACTTTGTGTGTGATAAATGGAAGCCCTTTTCATCTCCTCTTCTTGACCTGTAACCTTTCCATGATCATTTTCAGAGTATGGAGGAAATTCTTTAAGCAAGCCCTGCATCTTCCCTTCCACCTACAGAAATAATGTGGTCTTTGAATGCCTTGAGGATGAAAGTAACAAGCTCTGGTGCCCAACCACAGAGAACATGGATAAGGATGGAAAGTGGAGCTTCTGTGCTGACACCAGTAATCTGGGGCGGGGGACTGGATGAGCGTGGGTGGACTCTTTCATTCATTTACTCCACAAACACCTAGTAAATGCCTACTGTGTGTCAGACACTTTGTTGGGCACTGGGGATATGGTGATAAATAAGGCAGACAGGGCCCTCCCTCATGCTTGTGTTTTGTTCTGGCTGCTCGCTGATATGGAGATCCAAACCCTTGACTTTGGTGTTATAACGGTCCTGTTCTCATGAATCTGATGAACAAATAGTATAAAAAATGTGATACTGCAATAGGCTTTAAGATCCAAGAGAAAGGTGCCAATATTAAACACCTAACTCTCATACAAATATAGAGTAAGCACATGCTAAGGGCTTTTTAAAAAAAATTAATCTATTAATGAGGGAATCAGAAGGATAGTAAAGCTGATTCAAACATGTTATAAGTCATTTTTATAATCAGTGAAGAAAAGAATGCTGAGCTAAAGCAAGATTTCTAAATTTGATTCAAAAATCCATTAACATCTAAAGGACAATCAAATCTTTGAAGTTATCTTGTCTACCAGAAAGAAATTACTTGCATCTATCGAACAGAAATTATTCACGACCTCTCAGTCTTCTACAAGTTACATCTAATTGTTGCAGAGTCTGAGCCTCCAATCAATAGCAAATAATAAGTCAAACAGTTATATTCCTCTAGAGCAGGGGTCTGCAAACTCCATCCCACCTATAGGCCAAATCTGGACCAATGCCTGTGTTTGTATAGGCCCCTCAATCTAAGAATAGTTTTTTACATTTTTATATGGGTAGGAAAAAATCAAAAGAAGAATAATACTTTGTGACAAGTGAAAATTTTATAAAAATCAAATTTTAGCATCCACATATAAAGTTTTTCTGGAACAAAGTCATGCCCATTCATTTATGGGTTGTCTATGGCTGCTTTCTAGCTACAACACAGAGTTAAGTAGTTGTGACAAAGACTGTATATTGCACAAAGTAAAAAATATTTACAGAAAAAGTTTGCTGACTCTGAACTCGAGTATCAGATGACTCTTAGGGGCTTGTTAGATAATGCTCTAGGATGACATTAAAAAGTCATGTGACAAACTTTTGGCCTTATTTCAAGTTTTAGATAATTTTTGTCAACAAAAGATAGCAAATCTAGATTTGGTGGGATGATCAGGAAAGAAGCTCTAGAGAAGGAAAAATATAACCTTGGCCACGTGTCCTCATCATTCTACTCTTCGGCAGCAATCAGTAGGTCTTGTTTTGGTATCATTTTGTCTAGGGACAGGGCTCTCCCTTTACATTCCCGCTTCCTTACAAGTTATCCAAGTTTCCAACCTCTGTTCAGGAGTCTTGCCTGTATCTGGGGCTGTTGAACGGAGGGTTGTCCCGGGGTGATGGGCCAGCTAGAAGTGAGAGTGGTTCACACAGGAAGACACAGTTGACTTTCACTATTTGCAATAGTTATGTTCTATGAAGTTGCTCTGCACACTGGATTAGTAAATATGGAACCATTGCTTCTAGGGGGAAATACAGAGTTATGCTGTGAGCCTCTGGTCACAACATTTCTGTTAACTGATCAATATATCACCTTGTTTTATGTGTATTTCTGTTTGAAGACACCTTATTTAGTATGTATTGCTGATTCATTCACATTGAACTCATGGCCAACAGCCCTATAACTCCTGTCTGAAAACAGCTTATCTGAGGCACGTACTTTCTCCATAAGGCATATTGGAGCCTTCCTGTGCTTGGGAACACCAGAGAACACTATGCCTAGGGGTCATTGTAAACAGTGAAATCAACAACAAAAAGTGTGAAAACTTGAAAAACATAGGCACTTGTTCACACTATGGCTTATCTGAGGCACGTACTTTCTCCATAAGGCATATTGGAGCCTTCCTGTGCTTGGGAACAGCAGAGAACACTATGCCTAGGGGTCATTGTAAACAGTGAAATCAACAACAAAAAGTGTGAAAACTTGAAAAACATAGGCACTTGTTCACACTATCAGAGCTGAAATGAGAGGCAGAGAGTCACCTTGTTCAACCTCAGCTGAGAATGTGTGTGTCAGGTGACTCAATGTTTTTGCTGCTCTATAAATGACTGCAGAAACGCCATGAGAACTGGTTTTGGGGTTACAATTAAATTTTAGTGAATAGGTGAATTTGCAAACATGGAATCCATGAAAAATGGGACTCCACTGGAATTTGGTCCCGAGTGCCCCCCATTCCACTCCCTGGTCCTCCTGGTGACAGACATTCCTCTCCCTCCTACCTCTAGGACTCTTGTGATTTCCCTCTTCCCTTCATTTCCATTTCACTCCCCCTTTGTATCCCCTACTTTTCCCCCAAGTCCTAAGCTCAGATAGCTTCTGAGGGAAGAAAACCCAGCCATACAACATTCTTCTGACATTTAGGTTTAGGAAAGAATTCACCCTTCCAATGGGAGCCTCTGAGCGGCGCCCAAACAGCACTGCCCAACCATATGCAGTGTTGACCTGATCTGAATATTGGGTGAGCTCCAAAGCCCAAGCCTCCACTACAGTGTGGAGGTCCCAGAAATAACCTTTGTTTAATCCCTTTCTTCTCCCTAGGGATTTCCACATTGGCTCCTGGCTTTCCCTGCCACTTTCCATTCAACTATAAAAACAAGAATTATTTTAACTGCACTAGCAAAGGATCAAAAGACAACCTTCTATGGTGTGCAACTTCTTACAACTATGACAAGGACCACACCTGGGTGTATTGCTGATATTAAGGTGAGAGCAGGGACCAAAAGTGGATGCATCATTGATGCAAAGGTAAGACAGGTAGCACACCTGGGGGCATTGCTGATGCAAAGGTAGACAGGTAGCACACCTGGATGCATGGCTGATGTGAAGGTAAGATAGGTAGCACACCTGGATGCATGGCTGATGCAAAGGTGAGAGTCATTCCTTCCAGCATGTCTGATTAGCCGAGGTTCCCAGCAAGGTGGGCTCAACTTTCCAAAGGTAAAATGTAGGTGGGGGGAAGACTGGAACATTTTCCCAAATTAGAAAGCTGGAAGAGCAGAGGAATGATGGGTAAACTTTTTCAGACATAGAAAGGTATCATTATTCCAAGTTTGTTTTAGGTCTGCGAAGCTTTGGGTTTAAAAGATTAGGAAAGTGGAATTTCTCAAACTGGAATGTGATATATGAAAAGATAACATAGAAAAGGATATAACTTAGACTTCTCTGGTCCCCAGAGGCCATGGCACCATTTTTTCGATTCACTACCCCCATCACTGAGTAGACAAACAAGGAAAGGGTGGGGCTTACTTCTCTTCCTCTGTCAATTGGGTCTCCTGCCCCACCTCAGCCAATGAGTCATCAACTATCCCTGCAGGACTGTATTAGTTTTCTGTTGCTGGTAACAGAGTACCTGAAACTGGGTAATTTATGAAGAAATGAAATTTATTTCTTATAGTTTTGGAGGACAGGAAGTCCAAGGTCCAGGGTTACATGTGGTGAGGGTCTTGTTCTTGGTGGGGACTGTCTACAGAGTCCTGTGGCAATGCCCATGAGCATGAGTGAGATGGCAAGAATGTGAATTACTGTGCTCACTCTCTCTCCTTATAAAACCACCAGAGCCGCTCCCGGATAAACCATTAAACTATTAGCCCATTAATCCATGAATGGATTAGTCCATTAATGAAAGCATAGTCCTCCCAGTCCAATCACCTCTGAAAGGTCCCACATTTCAAATGCCATATTAGAAATTAAGTTTTCACATGGGCTTTGGAGGGGACAAACATTCAGACCACAGCAAGAACCAGCTTTATTTCTCCTTTTCTTCTAGTCTTTTCCTTCTGGCTCCCCATCTGGGCTAGCTTCAGTATTCTACAGTCTATAGAAGTCTCTTTAGATCTCTTGCATGGATCAACTGACCTAATCACTCTGTAACTTCTGGAATCAAAAAGTAAAGAGAATCCCTTTCATCTGATGTGTGGACAAAACTCTACTACTCCTCCCTCCAGGGTGGAAAACTCTGATGGTTCTAGCAATATTTGTCCTTACAATGAACATGGCTTATAGATGACGCCACTTTAGTGACTCCATGATTCTGGCTTGGCAGCAAAAATTATCTTTTCTGAATAGAGGATAGGCAAAGGAGTGGGTTTGGGCCTCTGGGTACCATTTTAATAGGGTGGATATTAAAAAACACCCACAGTGATCTCCAGTCTGTGGCTAAGACTAAGAATATTTTTAGTGCCCAGGCTCCAAAATTCATTGCAGAACTGCCTCAACTATTTCTTCCCCATGCCTATGGCCTACGTCAATAATTGATTACAGAATCTGTTTCCCTCTTAGCCCAGATGCAAATTCGTGTTGTGTTGCTGCTGCTGCTGTTGTTATCGCTTTTCTTCTTCCTTCTCCTTCTCTTGCTTCTCTTTCGTCTTTCTCTTCCTCTCTTTTCCTTCCTCCTCCTCCTCCTTCTTTCTCCTTCACCTTCTATCCATCACAGCAGGATTGCATTCTTGCAAGTCCCTCTCCCACCAAACCTATTACCATAGAGGTGAGGTCAAGGGGCTCATTGTTCATTGTCTGACTTGCCCCCACGAGCCAGGAGGGAGGGTAGAGGGGTGTCCACCTGCTCTTGGCTCAGCTGCTTCCGCTTACTTCTGTATGAGTGTTGAGATCAATACAAAGTCAGTTTTCTATTCACAATCCATTTTGAGCCAATACATACTTATTACTTGAACTCTAGCCTTTGATTCTATTTTTTTAATTATTATTTTAAAAAATTGTACACGTTTATGGGCTACAGTGTATTGTTTCAACACATGCATATATCGTATAATGATCCACTTAGGGTAGTCAGCATATCCATCACGTAAATATTTATCATTTCTTTGTGATGATAATATTTAAGATCCTCTTTACTAGCTGTCTTGAAATATGCCATACAATATTAACTATAGTCACCCGAGAGCACCAAAACTTATTCTTCCTATCCTTTAATTCTTTTTTTAAGGAGAGGACAAACATCTTCAGAGGAAGACTACCATACTGAGGCTGGAACCTGCTTCACCTTTTTTTAAATCATGTCTTTCAAGCTTAGATCACCTTTAGAAATACCTTCTCCACCCTTGCTTAATCTCTCAGCCCTTTGTGAAGAACAAAGAGAATACGTGGCATAACTACCAATAAAGGAGTTCTAACTTAACCCTGGAGGCTGCTTTTTCTGCTTCCTAGAAGGAGAGATATGGTGAAAGTGTGGGGAAGGAAAAGTTGGTGGCTAAGTTGTTGCGTCTCATGGTGGAGAGATCTGACATACAGCTCAGGGACACTCAGAAATAACTGAAGCCTGCTCGCTCTCTCTCTGAGAAATCACAGACTTGGGTGGAGCATTTGTAGGTACTTATTAAATTATTAATAAATAAATTAGTAAGTAAACAGAGTGCAGAAAACTCATTGCAAGACTGCCTCGACTGTCCCTTCCCCGTGCCCGTGACAGACATCAGTAGCCGAGTACAGAACCTGTGTCTCTCTGCGGCCAGATGCAAACTCACGCTGCCGTTCTCATTGTCCGCCTCCTCCTCGTACGTTGCCCCTCTTCTCTGTCCCCCTCATCTCCTGCTAAATAAAACACTCAGCAATTTCTATCCCCACCCCCCACTACACCTAGACCTCAGGCATAGATTTTAGCTGTTCGGCCTTATTTATTATCAATTTGAATGTCAAAGGAAAAATGATGTTGCATTTCAGGAGCCTGAAAATTTAATGGTAGATCTGTTTCACTTTAGCTCAAGAATAGCCAGAGGATCAATCCTCACTCAGCAACATACAGAAACCCCAGATCCCAGATCCTGTTTCCGTGTTTAAAGCCTTCCCTCACCTCCTTTTCTGCCTCTGCCCGCCTCTCTCACTACACTCCAGCGTCCTCCTTGAGCACACCAGCCTCCCCGCTGCCTCTGCTTGTGCTGGAATTCTCTTCCCGCTTGTCTTCCTGTATGTGTCATCCTCGCCTCATTCACCCTCTGTAGAAATGCCCCCGTGGCGGCGATGGAGATGGGCTGCCCAGATCCCCCTTCAGGAATGGGCTTGCTGCCCATCTCTGGGGAGTGCTGACTGCAGGTCGTCTTTGGTGGTCAGTCCAAATCAGAGATGTCCTCAGCTGTGAAGTGGCCTCCCCACCCAAGGCCATGCCCTTCGCAGGGCTGTCATAGCCATAGACCGACTGAGGCCAGATTTAAAGGCCCAGCCATCTCAACCAAGTGAGACAGCTCAGAAGAACTATGTTCAGAGCTCCCATGGGTTCAGCTGAGGTTGTCAAAACCTGCACCATAGTTCAGTTTTTCCCTCTGCCTAATCCTGGTTCTTTCCCTCTCCTTCCACAGTATCGATCCCAAGGAAACTCCCAGACAAACCTCCTGCATGCTCATCTCTAGTCTCAGACAGAGGAGGAGCCCTGGGAAACCCAACCCGAGACACCCTTTCTTTAAGATATGCCCTTTCTGATCCGTTTTAATAAAACTACCCTTTCCCCTTCCCCAAATTCTCTTTGTATCTAATGACTCCACTTTATCTTCCTCTAAGTATTTATCCCAATCTGAGCTTTTCATAAATGATTTAATTTTTTTTCTCCTCTCACACTGAAATGTAACCGCTGAGAAAGCAGAGCCCTTATGATGGGCCCTTTCCAAGACCTAGAATAATCCTGGGCTTATATCATGAACCTGTGCTGTCCAATACAGTAGCCACTAGCCATAAGGGATATTTAAATTTAAATTTACCTTAAGTAGCTAATAAAATTAATAATTTATTTATTAATAAAATGTTACTCACTTGATACTATTAAAATAAAATAAAATTCAGTTCCTCAGTCTTGCTCGCTGTGTCTCGTACTCAGTAACCACTCATGGCTAGTGGCTACTATAGTGGGCAGTGTGGGCCTAGAATATTTCCATCATTGCAGAAGACCTATGAATTGCATGCTTCTAGAATATAAGCTTGAGGTCAGGTACCTTGTCACTACTCTGTTTCCATTACCTGTAACAGTACCAGGCATAGAGCAGGGATGCCACAAATCTTTTTTGAATGGGTGACTGAATGAATGGGTGGGTAGATGGGTGAATGTATAGAGGAAATGGGATGGAGCTGAGAAAGGAGGCTCAGGCTACCATTTAAAAGGTGAGCTGGTACCAGCCAGCCACCAAAAAATAAAAACAACAAAAAAGTGAGCTGTATCACATCAGTCCTCTACTTAAAACTCTCTAAAGTCCTTAAAATGATCTCTAAGAACATACTTGCATGACTTAACCCCTGATCCACCTTGACCCCTTGCCGCCTACCCCTCTTCAGTCAATCTGGTCTCCTTGCCATCATTCCAACACTACAGGTATGTTCCTGCCCCGGGGCCTTTGCATTTGCCCTACACTGTGTCTCAAATGATCTTCCCCCAGATTTGGCCATTGTGCTCAATGAATTTCCTGGCATCCTTACATAGAATAGCAGTCCTTCCTCACATAGGACTCCCTAGCTCCTTCTCCACTCCATTTTGCTCCACAGTTCCTATCACCTTCTAACACCCTATCATATTTTGTTCCATGTCTGTCTCCTGCCATTATAATGTACATTGCTGGGACCCGGGGTTTCTGTCTATTTTATTCATTGCTATAGCCCCATGCTTGGAAGAGCGCCTGGCACATAGCAAGCACTTACTATCTTGATATGGAAAGAATAAAACATGGCAGGAAGGAAAGAAGGAAGGAAAAAAAAGGAAAGAAGTAATGAAGGAACAAAGCTTAAAAGTAAAACGGTCTTACAACAATCACAATTCCTTGAACTTGTTAAGACAAGCAAATAGATAGGATGTTGATGGGTGGGAGGGTGGACAGGGAAGAGGGAGAGAGGAATCAGTAAAGGGACACAACATTGCATATTGATAAAATATAATGAAATAAATAAATAAATAATGCCAATAAATAAATAAACAAAATGGTCTTAGGATAGTGAAAAATGGCAAAAAGGGAATGGCTGCTGGTGAGAGGTTAGGAAATACACTATTCCAGTTCTACTTTTTCTTAATTTTAATTTTACAACATGGTGCTATTGAACCAAATAATGCATTACATACACCTACTTAGTGAACCTCAACATGAGAAAAACTTGGGCCGACCCCATGGCTCACTCGGTAGAGTGTGGCACTGGGAGTGCAGCGGTGCTCCCGCCGTGGGTTCGGATCCTATAAATGGATGGCCGGTTGGTGCAGGCGACACCAAGCCAAGGGTTGCGATCCCCTTGCCGGTCACACACACACACACACAAGTGAGAAAAACTTGGAGGAAGGTGTAAAATGAACTTTTTATTTTGAGGACCTTTATGTTGCTGAAGTGTCCTGCTCTCAGGTGGAGGTGAGCAGGAATATATCTTTCAGTTTTCCAACCCAGATTGATGTTAGGATGTGAGGGATGGAACAGACTTCCCACCTAACAGAGAGACTCTCCCCGAGCAGCCCAGGACGGACCGATGTGGAGGCAGGGTGCCCCCAGGGATGGCCTTGCAGCAACCTGGCTGAGCTGGGGATTTGGAGGATCCTGTCCGCTCTCTCTTTGCATCATGTTATTTTGCAGATTAATTCCCTAGGGATCAGCTTGCATTAAACCTTGATAATCCAGATTTATGATTTAATTCAGTCCCCTGAGTATTTAACACAAGGTGAGGGATGTGGGAAGACAGAGAAGAAAAAAAACTAACAAACCAGACTGTACTTTCAGGAAATCAGGAAATGGAAGAAGCTCGCTTTGAACACCTCTTTAATGAACTATTTCCAAGATACAGCCCTGTTTCTAGCCCCGTGACTACATGCCTTCCTCCTACCAAGAGAAACTGAGGGGATTTGAAGCAGTTGAAGCAGGCAGGGGGAATGGTAGTCTGTGTGCTGAACTTTTTGACAGTCTGACAAAAGAAAAGACTATTTTAACCCAAGGGGAAGCTAGGGAAGAGACTCTGGCCAGTCCCAGAGATTTAGGTCTATGTGAAGCAAAAAGGTGTCATTAACCTTTGGAGTTTTTGGAGTGGCAACTGGACTCTAGTACCATCCATATTTCCATACATAGACTCTCCCTTCTCAATCTAATTCTATAGATGCCCCCTCCCGCCTGCCCGGCAAAGCGACTACTTTCAGTCTAACCTCCAGCCATACCCTTGCATGGCCAGTCACCATCCACCTCCCCACCCTCGCTCCTTTAGGGGGCCATGGGGATTTGGTCCCGCACAAGTGCTCGATCGGTGTTGACCAGGTGGAGCGTGCCTGGGGCTTCTGGAACCTCCTCAACGAGACATCATCTTCACAAACTCTGCAAACAAAAGTCCCCAGTGAAGCATCTCTTGGTAAAAGCAGCCAATATTACTTTTTTGAGCCCTTCCTATGTGCCAGGCACCACCGATGATCTTTGGGAAATTACTCGATCTCCCTATGCCTCCATTTCTTCATCTATAAAATGGGAATCTTATAGGATCACTATTTCTCTTGTATGAGGTTACTTCAAAAAGTTCATGGAAAGATTTTTACCATCTCTCAATTCTGTTTTTCTGCAAACTTTTTGAAATATCCCCATATGTTTTAAAGATGGGTAAATGACATAATGCTCATAAGACAGATTAAGTATTCATAAATAGTAATTATTAGTATCTTTTTTCATGTTTCAATCATCCTGGATGGGTAAGTGCCATTTTGCAGATAAGGAAACTGAGGCCAGCAAGGGTAACCAGTGTGCCTGAGGTCACATGGACAGTGANTGAAATATCCCCATATGTTTTAAAGATGGGTAAATGACATAATGCTCATAAGACAGATTAAATATTCATAAATAGTAATTATTAGTATCTTTTTTCATGTTTCAATCATCCTGGATGGGTAAGTGCCATTTTTCAGATAAGGAAACTGAGGCCAGCAAGGGTAACCAGTGTGCCTGAGGTCACATGGACAGTGAATGGTGAAGTCTGGAAGGAATGTAGGTTGCAACTGACTTTGCTCTGACTCAATGCCACATTAACTTACTGGCCCCACCCAGGTCTTCAGGTCACTCTGTCCTTCCCTTGCCTGTGGCTGGCCCAGGGATGACTTCCATCCCCACCTCTTCCAGATTTTCACTGATGTCCACTCTACACCTGAGGCTGACTAGATCCAGCAGTTATCCAACAGATATCTGCTAAGTTTCTGTATTGAGACTTATAAAGCAGATATGGTTTAGAAAAGACCCCTCCACTGTCCTCCACGGTGGAGGCAGACACAGCTCAGCACAGGAAGATCTGCAGTGACAACCTCTAAGGAGAGGAACAGAAAAGCTGTGTAAGACATCACAACCAGGAGGAATACACCCAGCTAAGGACAGAGGGCAGCTCCTTAGCAGAGGCTGCACTGGTGTGAGCTCCTGAGGGACGGGTACAATTGAAAGGCGTGGTGAATGGACGGAACGTCAGGGCACAGGAGCACAAGCTGGAGAACACAGAGCGTGTGCCAAGTTTGCGCGAGGGCACACAAAGTCAGAGAGTGGTTATAAAAGACACGGGCTAGGTGGGTGGCTGGGGCTGGATGATGGATGAACTCGAATATCCGACTAAGAATTCTGGACTTTTGCTATTGGCCGCTGTTCGATGCTGAGATCTTTGAACCATAGAGTATCACAATTACAACACGGCATGCCCTTTTTATGCCACCCACAAAAATGATTACCACTCCCCTGTACACAGAACGCCAATCTTTTTCATTTATCCAAGTATTTAATACACATACCTTGAGCTCTGTGCTAGGAACTGGGGATGTAGTGATGAAAGATTTAGTCTGTGGCCTCAGAAAGAAATAGGCAATAAACTACTAGTGTTATAAGCTATCGATATGTCATGGATCGGTGTTACCACAGAGGTAAGCACGAAGTGTTATGGGGGAACCCAGAAGAGGGACACTGAGCCCAGCAAGGAAGGTGGGGGGCACATCTCAGGAGCATAAGTACAGGTTAGCCAGGGGAAGAGAAAAGGTCATTCCAGACAGAAGGGACAACATGAGCAATGACAAGCAGGGGTGACGTTCTCAAAAAAAGTGTCTTTTGGTGCATCATTTCTTTTAGTTTTTTCCAAAAATTTGAGAGAAAGGGGTCATTATTAACCCCATTCAGGGAGCTGGCCAATTAGCTCATGTGGGAGAGCATGGTCCTGATAACCCCAAGGTCATGGGTTCGGATCCACATATTGACCAGCCACCAAAAACAAACAAACAAACAAACAAACAAACAAACAAACAAAAAACCCCCCAACCCCTCCCAAACCCATGTTGGAGATGTGGAAACTGACTCTCCCTTTTTGCTTTTTTTTAAAGCCAGTCAAATTACATTCAGAGAGAGTGACTAGGATAAACTATATACTTAGTGAGAGACGACCCTGAATTTGAAGTCCATGAATCTGACCCCAGAGTCCTAGCTACTAGCCAGTCCACTGTCCTCCTGATGGCACAGACTGTTCCTTTGATAAAAGATGCCCAGTGAACTAGCAGGGAAAAGGAGAGGTGGAAATGATCCATGAGCAAGGGTAGAAAAGGCCCTCTGGACAAGGTGTTCCGTGGAGCCACCAGGTGTGAGAATCACCAAGCTCTTTGAAATGACATGGGCAGAAAGGGATGAAACAAATGTTTCATCCAAGCTCCAACTTAAAGAAGAGTGAGAAGGAGTGGTCAGCTCGGAATATCAGACAGGGAGTTGGAAGAGGATTCCTCCTGTGGCTGCCCCGATACCACGTCACCTTCAAAGTCAACGGTGCCATCTCCATTAACATCAGCTTCCTGGACGACCTCGGAGATCTCCCGGGGGGTGAGCCTCTCTCCCAGCAGCCTCTGCATGGCCTGTTGCAACTCCCCCAGGGTGATCTCCCCATCTCCGTTGGCGTCAAACTGAATAGGAGCAGAGGGGATTGTGTTAGCATCAAAGATGATGACAGAAACAATAACATTCGCTTACTGATCATATACTGTGGGTCAAAAACTAAGCTAAGAGCTTATCATCTGCTAGAATGTCAGCTCCTCAAGGACAGGTTTTTAAAAAAATTTGCATCTATTTTTATTATTTTTTTAAAACAGCTTTATTAAGGTATAACTAATATACAAAGAGCTGCACATATTTAATGTATATGATTTGATGAGTTTGGACATATGTATATGCCTGTGAAACCACCACAATCAAAGTAATAAACATATGCATCACCTCCAGGAGTTTCCTTATGCTCTTATTTTGTTTTATTTTATGGTAAGAACACGTGACATGAAACCTACCCTCTTAACAAGTTTTTGAGTGCACAGCACAGCATTGTTAGCTACAGGCACTATGTTGTACTGTAGAGCAGATCTCTAGAACTGACTCATCTTGCATAACTAAAACTTTACATCCATTGAACAGCAACTCCCCACTTACCCTTCCTCTCAGTCCCTGGCACTCACTCTTCTACTCTCTGCCTCTATGAGCTTGATTACTTTAGAAACCTTCTCCTTCTGTGTAGTACATACATACAATAAAATATTATTCAGCCTTACAAAAGAAGGGAATTCTGCCATATGGGACAACATGAATGAACCTGGAGGATATGATGCTAAGTGAAACAAGTTATACTCAGAAGGACAAGTACTTTAAATGTCTTTTTCACTGCTGTGTGCTCAGTCCCCAAAACAGTACTTTCCATACGAGCACTATTGATAAATATTTGTTGAATTAGTGAACTACCTTCAAACCTTTTCCCTGCACACCCTTAATCAATGTACCAGAAAATCTGGTGTGTTCTACCTCCAAAACTATCTTTCTCTAGCTCTGCCAATGCTAACCTGGCTCAAGCCACCATCATCTCTTGCCTGAATTATCATGACAACCTCCTAATTGGTCTTCTGGCTCCCATTGTGGTCCGACTATAGTCTATTCTCCACATATCAGGGCTTCATGTTTACGTTCATTTAAAATATGAATCAGATCTTGTCACTTCCCTGTTTATAATCCTTCAGTGTCTTCCTATCCCACTCAGAACAAATTCCTGACACAGTTCCATGACACACAAGCCCCTACATGATTTGGACTGTCTTCTGCAACTCTAAGACTTTGTTTATTTCATGCTACTCTGTCTCCAGCTCACTCCTGGCTTCTACCTCTTCCTCAAATATTTCTTCCTACCTTATAGCATTTGTAAGCTTGCAGCTTCCTCAGCCTGGGATGTGATTTCCCTAGAGCAATGCTGTCCCCAAGAAATACAATGCTAGCCTCATGGGTAATTTAAAATTTTCTAGTAGTCACATTAAAAAAAAAGTTGAAACAAGTGAAATTAATTTTTAATAATCAATTTTATTTAACCCAATATATCCAAACTGTTATCATTTCATCATGTAATCAATGTAAAAATTAATGAGCTACGTTACATTCTTTTTACACACACTGGATTTCATAAAACAGCATAATAGCATACTAAGTACTTAGTATGTACTTAGCATACTAAATTAATATACTTGGCATAGAAGTATACCTAAGTATACAAGTATACTTAATCTAAGTATACTAAATATATTAAGTCTTAATCCAGTATGTATTTAACACTAAACAGCACTTCTCAATTCAGACATTAAATTTTTATCAGAAATACTTGATCTTCTTTTAGGTTTCATCATAAAGTTTACAGTTGAAAAGGTAGATTCACATACCCGAGTTGTTCCAGATAAAAGCTTTTCAATAATTAAATTGAGTTTCAATTTATATTTAAATAAATTGTATTTAAATATTTGGACTTATATTTGGTGGAATATAAATGGAAATTAAATAAATTATTTAGTTGAAATAAATTGAAATTAAAATAAGAATAAAAATTCGATTCCTCAGTCACACCAGCCACATTTTAAGGGCTCAATTGTCACATGTGGCCAGTGGCTACTGTTTTGGACAGAGCATTTCTGTAGTTGCAGAAAGTTCTATTGGACAGGGGATGTGTAAATCTTTATATGAAGCTGGGTAGAAAATCACACAGCTAGTAGGTAGACATCTGGGATTTGAAGCCATTTGAAGACTTTGCCTGGTTCCAAAGTCTTTGCTTTCAGACACTGTATTATTCTTTATTTTTGCCTTATATAGTTGAAAGCTCTCTAAATGAGGAAAGTATTTTGTCAGAGGAAATAAGAAAGCCCTACCCTCCCCAGGTCACACTTATTTATTTATTTTATTTATCTTTTTTAGCATTTCTACAGCAAGTGGCTTAAACCAGATGATCTCTTTGGGTTTTCATCTGGGATCTCAAATTCTTGGATTCTTTCTTCCTATTATGGGCATTAAATTTAGAGGCCCTAACATTTATTTTGGAGATTGTAAGATCTTGGATAAGATTTTTAATCTCTGTGATCCTCAGTTTCCTCATCTGTATGATTGGGATAAATGCTTATTCCTAATGTTATTTGTGAGGATTACCTCAGATATGTGGCCGGCCCGGTGGCGCACTGCTACAGTGCGCCGCTTGGGAGCGTGGTGGCGTTCCCGCCGAGGGTTCGGATCCCACATACAGACCGGTTCCCACTCACTGGCTGAGCGAGGTGTGGGAGCAACACCAAGGGTTGCGATCCCATTGCCGGTCCTGGTCCGGTACGGGCGCAACACTGAGGGTTGCGATCCATTGCCGGACACGAAAAAAGACAAAAAGGAAAAAATAAATATGCAGAGACCCTGACCCAGTGCAAGTGTTTGGAATATGTCATTTTCCTTCCCTATCGATCTCAACATGGCTAGAAAAAAAATTGGTTTTGGTGGGTTCTGTGTGTATGGTGATGACTAATTACAGACCTCTGGGGTCTCCCTCACCCACTACCAGCACCATGAGGCTCTTAACTCACTTCCTTGAAGGCATCTCGCATCTCCTGGACACCGATCATCCCAGCTGTTTCTGCAAGCAGCTTGGGGGTCATCAGCTCCACAAAGTCATCAAAGTCGACACGGCCACCCACTGAGGACAGGAGAAGTAGGATTAGTGAGACGCCACATGCCCCAGCTTTGCATTACCTCACTTTGCCCTTCAAGTAAGTTCGAGAAATAGATCAGCTCCCATTTCCCTGCCTTTTAAGAGCTTTCATTGACCTCCTCCATCCACTCAGCCAACTCAAGTCCTCATGTCCCTCTGATGGAGTTTGGATGTGTTGTCCCCTCCAAAACTCATGTGGAAATTTGATCCCCAATGTGACAGTGTTGGAAATTGATTGAGTCATGGGGGCGGATCCCTCATGAATGGATTAATGCTCTCCCTGGGGGAGGGGGGATTAATGAGTGAGTTCTCGCTCTATTAGTTTCCAAGAGAGCTCGTTGCTTAAAAAGACCCTGGCACCTTCTCTCTCTCTCTTGCTTCCTCTCGCCATGTGATCTGCTTGTACCTACCAGCTGCCTGCCACTTTCTGCCATGAGTAGAAGCAGCCTGAGGCCCGTGCCAGATGCAGCTGTCCCAGAATCATAAGCCAAATAAACCTCTATTCCTCATAAGTTATCCAGTCTCAGGTATTTCTGTTATAGCAACACAAAACGGACTAAAACACCTTCTAATCTGAACAGGGGTGGACAAGGTGTGGTATGGTGTGTGCTGTGACCTTCAGCGAGTCCCTTAATTGTAGATCTGTAGAAGGAGGAGTATGGATTAAATGAGCACCTAGGTCTCTTCCAGATATAAATACTATCATTGCCTTGAATTCAACCTTGTTTATTCAGTTGCATGCCCAGAAGCAAACCCAATAGGAATTTTATCCCAGGTTCAATCTCAAAAACAGCTCTAGTCTCCATCTAAAAATTCGTACTCTTTTGAAACAGTTTTCACCCATATTATCTCCAACTTCAAGTTCATTTCCAACATCCAATACAGCTCCAATCTTGCACTGCACTGATGAGTCTTAGTAGTGATGATAATAATCTCCATTTAAGAAGAATTTACTGGAAGCTAAAACTTTACCTCTATTTACATCTTTACCCCTTCCTTTCCATAATCCCATGAAAGAGGAGTGAAAGCATCTTCACTTGACAGATGAGGAAACTGAGACTCAAGATCAGGGAATAAGCCCACTTTTCATAATGACCACAATTAGTAAATAATAGAACTGGAACTTGAATTCAGGTATATATCTAATGGTCACCATTTTAACCAGTTGAAATGCTGCTTCCATAAGTATAATCTGAACTGTTTTCTTCCAGACTTCTAGTCTCTTTTACCCTCTGTTTTATCCCCAACTTTACTCCCAACCTCCATATCTTTCCCAATCCCACTTTCCATCCTCTCCTAACCCCAGTCATTCCTCCCATTCCCTGGCCTCACGGTTCATCCGGATTTGCTGGCCCAGTTCAGTCAGCTCCATCTCTGTGGGCATGTAACCCATTGTCCTCATGAGATTCCCCAAATCTTTACAAGAGATGAACCCATCTCGATCTTTGTCAAACTCAAGAAATGCTTCCCGGAGCTCTGAAAGTTAAGAGAAAAGAGCTTTGGGGGAACTTGGAACAGTCAGTGGGGGAAACACTATCAGTGGAGGTGTCTAGTAGAGACTCTTCAAAGGAGAATGCATTTTAAAAAACCAAAAATTTCAAAAATGAGTGACGTATAAAATGTGGCATGATTTCTGAGACTGCTAAGTGAGTGCACTGAACTCCTTCTAATTCTTGGGTTAAGTTATGGGGAACCTCAAAACCACCAAGAGAAAAACCAACCATTTTCAATTCATTCTAAAACTCGAGTATCACTCCTGAGTCTCTGAGACACTTAGGGATGGGCATGCCTTCTAGATACTTTAGGAGGTACTTAAATTGCCATAAGAAGGAGTTCTAAAAAATTCCACTTGAGTGGGAAGATGGAGGGATGTAAAATTTTTATGTGAAGGAATTTGTACAGAAACGAACAAAGGAGCTGAGAGATTAGGTGGGTGTCTGGCAATGTGGGGGCATTTGGGGGAGAGGGTGTTACCTTCAATTTCATCTTGTCCCAGTGGTCTTTCCTGGAAAGGAATGCAGAGGAGAGGGAATTTGGAGAGAGTGTCAGGAACCCAAAATCGACTTCTCCAAACATGTCCTCTCATTCTCCAAAGCTATTTCTCATCCTCTCCTATTTTTCTTCTCATTCTTCCTCTTCTCTATCTTTCTCCCCTTCCTTCTTTCCTCTCCTGACTCCCCACCCACAGCTCTGTGCTCCTCACTCTTTCTCCCATCCTCTCTCACTTCCCCTTTTCCATTCTTGAATCTTGGTCTCCCTCCTTCTCCATTTCCCAGACATTGCCCATCATATTGTGCCAAAAGGGGTCCTAAATACCATGGAGTCAAATCTCTTCCTTCTCCAGATAAAGAAAGTGAGACTTAGACAATCGCAGCGAACATGTTTATAGTGCTGATTCTGTGCCAGCAGTTTCCATAGTCATTTTATTTAAACCTCAGAACAGCTCTGTGAGACAGATCCAAATATCCATTTTACCCATGAGGAAGCTGAAGAACAGAGAAGTTAAGGAAGCTGCTAAAGGTCACACAGCTCATAGGTGGCAAGTCCCCTCCCAAGGGAGGGAGAAATTAAATTAATCCTTGAGGCCATGCAGCAAGTCAGGCACAGCACTGGGATTTGAATTCAGGGATCCTGACTCGCAGGTCAGAATGATTTCTGTTACACCCTATTGGCTCTTTTCCCACCTGCCTCCATCCTTTCTCCCGAAGGTTAGAATCCTTTTGCGTGGGACCAGTGTTCAACGGCATTCAGGCAGGATGAAGAGTGCCAGCATGACCAATTCCTAAAACCTCTGAGAGTTTCCACTGTCGCCCTACCTACTCCTGGACGTACCTGAGGAGTTGGACTTGGATACACGGCAGGTCACCTGAAATTTTACAAAGCTCTGACCTCTTTCATACCCTTACCTCCTTTTATCCTTGAAGCCTCTCTCTCTCTCTTTCTCTCTCTGGTGATCTTAAAGCCTAATAATTAAAAACACGCTCATAGGAATCAAACGGACCTGACCCTGCCATTTAGTAATTATGTTGGCATAAGGCAAAGGACATCACAACTTAGAGCCTCAGTTTCTTCACCTGTAAAGTGGCAATGAACGTATGACCAGCCTTACAAGTTGTTCTGAGGTTTACACGACATCAGGAATGCAAAGCCCTTTGCATGGGGCTGGGCATATAGCAACGACTTAACAAGTGGCAGCTATTGTCTTCACCATCATCACTACGAGAGTCCATAGAGAAGAATGATGATGATTTCAACAACGCCGTCATCCAGTCCCCCTTCTTTTTTATTCTTCTCCCCTTCCCCTTCCCTCTTTTGCACTGAACTTCTGACCTCCTGGCCCACACGACCCCTTCACTTCTTGGTTCATGCTCTCTCCACCTGTTCCCTTTGCTCTGTTGCACCATCATGTCTCCTACTTTTCACCATGTCTCAGCTCCCCTTGCCCAGCCCGCCACCCTCCCCATTGCCCCCCACCTCACCCGCTGTTTCTCGGCGATGCCTTTCCTCAAGAAGATGCAGGCGGGGCCCATGGGAAACTGCATGGAGGGGGCAGGGCAGAGCTCTCCAATCTCAAGACGGCCCCTCCTTCCTGTGCCCCCTTGGCAGCTCTGCCTCCTTATCTTCTCTGCCACTCTTTTGCCAACTCTTCCTGCCTCTCTTGGCCTCTCCCTTGGTCCCTGTGTCTTAAAGCTGCGACAGATGGGTCAGACTCTCTACCCGGGTTGGGGAGGGATCAGAGCTTTTCCTGCCTCCCCATCTGGTTTGAGTGAGATGGACAGGGACAGCCAGTCTCAGGCTCTGAGACCCTTTTATCCCCAGAATGGAATTGGAATGTACGTTTTGAAAAGGGGGATTAGAGCAGAGGGCATCCATTCATTTGATGCTCCAATAAGCATTTCGAATGCTCACTCTAAGCCTGGCGTTTGGGCTTAGAGTGAAGGTGGAGAGGACGTGGCCCTTGGCTTCAAGGAGCCTTCCTGAGTGAGCCAGGAATGTGTGCAAATGAGCAGGAAGTAGGAAGAGGATTTCGGGAAGTAGGTGTGCATGGTGATGAAGAGCATGGTGTTCGCTTTTCCTCTTCCTCTGCTCATCACTTTCCTTCTGTCTTACCTCAATAATTCGGGAAGTGGGGTGGAGAGTGAGGTCAAATCATAGTGATGTCAGAGTCCAAAGGGGTGATAAGGGTGTCCACAATTGTTGGGGGGGTGGGGGGTGGAGCACTGAGGTCTCTCTGGTGTGGGGAGCCAGAGTTCCAATGGGGTAGTGGAGTGAGGGAGGAACCCCTGAAGAAGGGCAGCATGCCTCAGAGAGTTGGGTCCTGAGAAGGCAGGGATGAATCCGTGGAAGGGCAGCTTGGTGTGGAACGCTGGAGCACAAGCTGAGTGAGCAGAGTATCTGTAAACGGGCATCATCCTGGGGAGGGGTTGTACTGTAAGTGGGTTGGGAGGAGTCCACACATGGGGGTTGTGGCATGGGATGTCGTAACCTAAGCAGAGTGAGAAGAATGTCCACTCATGGAGGCAGCACGGTGTAGGGTATTGAAGCCAGATCAGGATGAGAAAGGTGTCCCCACAGGGGTGGGATGGCAATGAGGAAGGGAGATTGGTTACACACAGGGATTCCATTAAGTGTAACGGGAGCCAGGTGTTCCACTGTTGGAAAAAGGAGTCACTAATATAGAAAGGGGAAAAGTAGAATGAGCCCTGTGGCATTGAGTTGCAATTGGAGGCACTGGTATATAGTCATGGATTTAATGCATAGAGATATATAAAAATAAACACATAGTCTCAGTGTGTATAGGAACATTTGTGCATATATTCTCTAGCTGTCTCCACTAAGAGGACACAGAAGCAGTGACACCCCAGTATTAATGAGCACCTCCAGCATCCAGACCTCGACTTCCAAATACCATTCTCCACTAAAAGGAACCAAGGCTCCCAGGAGAAATGGCTGATTCCATGTCTAAAACAGGAAATGAAAAAGATAAGCCTGAAACCTCTTGTGCCATTAAGCAAGGAATTGCTCAAAGAGTTATGGAGACATGTTAAAGGATCACAGAAGTCAGTTTGAGGAAGCTCCATTGGCCATACTGGGCAATTTGTGAAACAAAATAAATTATGATAGTAACAAATTATATAGGATATCATAGGAAACCTGGAGTCCATGCAGATATAGATAAAAAGATAAGTGGAAAGTTTCATATTTACACAGTTCAAAGTACTTCCCTACAAAATACTAGTTTCAATAGAAAGAGTCACTTTGTAGTGGAGGAGTGCAGATGCCATCTTAATCAAACGATTGAAATGAACATCATCAGTAATGTGACAAATTGAAATTATACACCACCTGATAGGATATAACAAGAACACAGGGGCTGACTGGTCAGTTCAGTTGGCTAAAATGCAGTCTTATAATACCAAGATCAAGGGTTTGGATCCCTGTACCTGCCAGCTGCTAAAGGGAAACAACAACAACAACAACAACAACAACAACAAAAACCCTCACAGCATTGCCTCTGTGACATTCCTAAATACCAAATCATGAGAAGACATCAGATAAGACCAAGTAGAGAGATAGTTTCCAAAATAACTGGCCTATAAGCTTCAGAAATGTCAAGGTCATGAAGGTCAAGGAAAGATTGAGGAACTGTTGGAGGTTTGGAGGAGACTAAGGAGACATGACCAAATGCAACAGAGAATTCTAAACTGCATCCTTTTGTTACAGAAGGCCTTATTGGGGCAACTGGTAGTTTGCTGGCAGTCTTTGGCACTCCTGGGCTTGTAGATGCATTACCCTAACCTCTGCCTTCATGTTCACATGGCCTTCTCCCTGTGTGCATGTCCATCTCAGTGTCTAGATTCCCCCTTTTTATAAGGACACAGTTATAGTGGATTAGGGTCCACCCTAATGATCTCACCTTAACTTGATTTCATCTGTAAAGATCTTATTTCTGTATAAGGTCACATTCACACATATTGAGGGTTACAACATGAACATAATTTGGGGTGACACAATTCAACCCATAACAGTCCTGCTTTAATTTTGAAAAGCCACTGTATTAATAATAATGGCTAATGTCTCTTGAACACTCAGTGCCAGCCACTGTTCTCAAGTCTGGAGACTCATTAACTTATTAACTCATTAACTTCGAGGATACAGGCACCATGATTATATATTCTACAGATGATGAAACTGGGGCACAGAGGCAAAGGAATTTGCCCATGTTCTCATGGTGAGCAGAAGCAAGATTCAAATCCAGCTGCTGAGACTTCATGCTTAATCACTGAATTATAGATGGAAGAGGAAGGAAGGGAAAGGATGAATGAAAGAAGGGAGGTGAAAATGGGAAAGTAGACAAGGTAGCTGAAGAAGGTGTTTACTTGGAGAAGGTGATGGAGGGGAAGACACTTAAAGGGTAGGTAAGAAGGGCAGAAGGCAAGATACAGGAGAGTGGTAAGAAATGAAGAAATAAAGGGTGTACCAAGTGTGGAAAGGGGTGCAGCAGTGGTGGCGGTGGACCAAGACACACATGCACAGTCAATCCACCAGTCAATCAGCAAGCATTTATTGAGCACTTTTATCTCAGAGCTTCACTTGGCTCTGGAGAGACAGACCATGATTAAGGCCAAAGTTCTTACTTTACAGAGCTAACCATCGGGCTGGGGGTGCAATAAAGGAGCAATTAAGTGGCTTTGGTCTCAACTACCATGCTCATTTTGGCCACCTGGACATTGGACATGATGGCTCTGATGGTCAGAGAGTCATGTTCCAACTCCATGGTCTCCTGAGGGATCTGGACATATTTTACCACCTTTTGCTCCTGGGACCTCTCCTTCTGATAGATGCTGTCAAAGACACAATCCAGGTGGTCACTGGTAGTCAGCCCAGTTAGGACAGTCAAGGTGAACTTGATGCTATAGAAGGCGAAGCTGAAGGGAGTGAAGAACATGAAGGTGGATGTCCAAGTCATGGTAGACCAGCAGGCCCACGTTGCCCTGGAGAAGGAGAAGCTGATGGTGGACTCTGGGGGGAGCACAGGTGGTGGTGCCACTTGGGCATAACCAGTCTGGCAGTAGAGTCTGGGAATGAAGGGGAGTTAGAGGTTACCATTGTTCTTTGCAGGCAATATTGCACATTAAACAAGATTAGGAGATCTGGAAGCCTCTACAGATCACACACGACTTGGGAGAGACTCATTCATTCATTAAGAACACCTAGATTTAATCCCAGCTCCACCACCTACTGTGGAGCTACTGTGGCCTGTGTTTACTGTGTAAACATTCATTTATCCAGCACTATGAATGCTAAGCACATGTGTCAGGAACTGGGCTAGGAGCTAACTCTTCAGCCTACATCAAATATCATGTTACTTGCCAGAATTCACAAGATCTGATCTCTGTCCATCTCTCCAATCACATTTTATTCCATGGTTCCCCCACACTCACAATGATCCAGCAATAACAGCCTTCTTCCTATACCTTGAATAGACCAAGGTCATTCCTGTCCAGGGCCTTTGCACTTGCTTTCCCTTTGTGAAGAATTCTGTTCCTCCAGACTTTGTCATGGCCACCCCTCTCAGCATCCAGTCTCAGGCCAAAGGTCTCTTCCTCAATAAGCTTTCCTACGGAGCCCTTCACTTCACTTCCCAGCACATACCTTACTTTGTTGTCTTTATGGTACTTATCATTCTCTATACCTGTCCTGTTGACTCATTTGTTTACCTGTTTATGTTGTGTCCACCCAGGAGGATGCAAATTCCTGGAGAGCAAGAGTCTCACCTGACTTGTTTGCAGCACCTGGGATGGTGCCTGACATGCATGTATATATCAAGCATCCAGTAAACGTTTATGGAATGAATGAATGAATGCAAGATGCAATGCA